TGGCCCAATGAAAGTGGAAGTGTTGGCCGGAGAGTGCAGTAGGCGAGTGCCCATAGCACTCCTCCTCAACTACGCGACCGTTCCACCAATCACCGAGGCAGATGTTCCAAGTCTTCAAGACTTGAACCTCACTTCACGTTCTCATTTCTTCTTTTCTTTCTTTCTTTAGATCCGAACTTCACTTGCTGGAGTTTCAGTTTCGGAGGCATTTCTGCAACAAGATTACAGAGCACGACCTATATTTCAGGTTAGTGTTTCTTGCACGAATTGAGTCAATGAATTTACAGAACCCCCAAGTAAGACCCTGTAAGATCCACTAGCTTAATCTTCCTTTTATTACCATGTTGTTCTTCTTCTTCTTTGGATAATCTTAGGATTTCATTTTTCTTGGATTTGTAGCCAAGCTGCAATCTTTGTCTGCGGACTTGTGTTTCAGCACCTTGGTGTTTTAAGTCTGGTGGGTTCTAGAAGGTGGGTGGATTAGAAATACTGGTAAAGGGAGATTGAAGTTTGGGGTTTTGGAATCATGAATGGATTATCTCTGTCTGTTTTTGTCTTTACAATGTATGGATTGTTGATCACTGGGTTCACAGATCCGTACTTCTCACGTGTGGAATTTGGGATTAGAAGTGATTCAAGTGAATCTTCTGAAACCTACAAGTATGATAGAATTGATGAGGTGAAGAAACAGTGCAAATCTGTTCTATCATCTGCTTCTGAATTGAGGCCTGAGGTTAATAGAGCTTATAATGTGAAAGAAGAGCTCAATTTTGTGTATGGGGATTGGGACCAGGAAGTAGGTGATGCTCCTATTATGCCATTTGATGATAAAGTGGATATCCCAGAGTCCGAGAGTCCTTTGAAATTAGTTTCTTTCCGGATCACGGATGTTGATCAGGCTCATCAAGCTAAGAAGTACGTAAGTGTGAGTGGGATTTTGTTGTTGGGCATCACATTGCATAATTCACTTGGAGAGCCGTATGAAGGAAACCTTAAATTTCAGATAAGGCCTGGTCATACTCAGCTTACTATTTTGTTTGAAGGGATTTACACTGAGACCAAACTGAATGGTGGAGAAAGAGAAAGAGTGATGTGTTTGTTGGGAAATACAATGTTGCCATCTCGAGAGTCTGATAAGAGCCATCCATGGGAGTGGTTGGAGGTTTCCAATCCAAATTACAATCAACCCCCTCTTTTGCAAGATGATCAAATTCTTCTTGTTCTTCACTATCCAATGACATTTACATTGACTAGCCGGGTGATACGAGGAGAGATGAAAAGTTTAAACCCAAAAGCAAATTCTAAGTACTTTGATGAAGTTCACATTTTTTCCCAACTGCCTAGGTCAGCACGCTATGAGTTTGGTGCCCATGAAGTTGTCTCCAAGGCATGTGATCCCTATCCTTATAGTGGAGATAGCTTCATGAATAGCAGCATTGATATCTATAAAGGAACTGGGTTTTGTAGAATTCTTGAGGAAGTTACTAATATGGATGCTTTCATGGTTGTCCCAAACTGGAGATGTAATGGAAAAACTGATTACTGCAGTAAGTTGGGTCCATTTGCCTCAGATGAAGGGATCAAAGCTACAAATGGTAGCTTCAAAAATGTCCAACTTTATATGCAGGATGTTATGTGTGAGCCAACACGTGGACCTGGGAATTCTAGTTCAGCAAAGGTTGCTGCAGTATTTCGGGTTGCCCCCCCCTCAACGAATCAATATCGAGATGGATGGAGATCTGCACTTAACAAAATGACTCTGGCTGCCGAGGGAGTTTGGAAGTCCTCCAGTGGGCAGCTTTGCATGATCGGTTGCCTTGGACCTGTTGATGCAGAAGGAACTAGCTGTAACTCTCGGATCTCTTTGTATATTCTTATTTCATTCTCCATAAAGCAGCGAAGCATAATTTCTGGGAGTATATCAGGCACTGATAGAAGAAAGGCATCATACTTCCCTTTATCATTTGAAAAGCTAGCGAGGTCCTCAGAATTCTGGAATTATTATAGATCCTCTTATCCATATTATAAGTACTCTAAAATAAAGTCAGCTGGCACCATCTTAGAGAAGGTTGAGCCAGTCAGTTTTAGAACTGTTATCAAGAAATCCTTGCTGCAATTCCCAAAACTGGAAGATGCTGAAACATACTTATCTAGCCTTTCTCTCCTTGCTGAAGATCTAACCCTTCAGATCTCTGCAGTTGCTGACCCATTTCATAATTCTCATTCCCCAAGAATAGATATTGGGATGCAGATTCTCTCTGTTGGCCCCTTGTTTGGACGAAGGTTCAGGTCTTTGAGAAATGCATCCATAGAGGAGGAGAAACCGTATTTCACTAAAGATGAATACACTGAAAAACAGCTGCTCTTGAATGTATCAGCTCAGCTAATGTTGTCTGGAAATGCTTATAGCAACTTTTCTTTTCTTTTTGTTGAGGGTCTTTATGATCCAAGGATTGGGAAGATGTATCTTGTTGGCTGCAGGGATGTGCGTGCCTCATGGCAGATCTTATTTGAGAGCATGGATCTTGAAGAAGGGTTGGATTGTCTAATAGAAGTTATAGTGTCTTACCCACCCACTACATCACGGTGGTTGGTCCATCCAATAGCGAAAATTTCCATAGCCAGCCAAAGAACGGAAGATGACCCTCTTCATTTTGACACGGTTAAGCTCCAAACTTTTCCAATTATGTACAGGAAGCAGCGAGAGGACATTCTTTCTCACAGGGGTGTTGAGGGCATCCTCCGTTTTCTAACACTTTCATTGGCAGTTGCTTCGGTTACAAGCCAACTGTTTTACATCAAGCACAAGACAGATTTCGTTCCTTTCATATCCCTTGTCATGCTGGGTGTCCAAGCTCTTGGATATGGTCTTCCTCTGATCACTGGTGCAGAAGCTCTCTTTAAAAGAGGGGCCTCTGAATCTGATGTAATGCCATCTTACAATCTTGAGAGGAGTCAGTGGATCAACATGATTGATTACATGGTGAAGCTTCTTGTATTGGTAATGTTCCTTCTAACTCTGAGGCTTTGTCAAAAGGTATGGAAATCCCGTGTCAGATTACTTTCTCGAGCTCCACTTGAACCTCACCGTGTCCCAAGTGACAAGCAGGTATTTATCACAACCGTGATGATGCATGTGATTGGATATTTAATTATTCTGATCATCCATACTGTCAAAGCTGATCAGAGACCACTTCAAACAGAGAGGTTTATAGATTCAAGGGGCCGATCCCGAACATCTCAGGGATGGGAAACCGAACTGGAGGAGTATATTGGTCTTGCTCAAGATTTCTTCTTGCTACCTCAAGTTATTGGTAATTTTGTTTGGCAGCTCAATTGTAAGCCACTCAGGGAACATTACTTCATTGGGATAACGGTGGTTAGACTTCTCCCTCATTTGTATGATTACATAAGAGCTCCCATTGCCAATCCCTACTTTGTGGAGGATTATGAGTTTGTTAACCAAAGGAAGGACTTCTACTCAAAGTTCGGGGATATTGCCATTCCCATCACTGCAATTTTCCTTGCAACTGCAGTCTATATCCAGCAAAAGTGGGATTATGACCAGCTTAAACAGATTCTTCGTTTTCTTCCTTTAGGTTCAAGAAAGTATGAGAGATTGCCTTCCAAGTCTACTGAAGCCGAGCTTGCTTCCAGTGTTAATGGAAATGCCTTGCACAGACCAGAGCATGATGATGAAGAATAGTTCATTACATTCTCATGTGACTTGCAGATCTTTTGCATACATAGAAGAAGAAGGTATTGTTGTAATGTCATACATAGAATACTAAATAGAGAGCCTTGGTCTTATGCTCTGCAGATATTTAACATTTTTCTGGACCCTATCAGTCAAGTCTTAGGGGCTCTTCTAAGTTGATCTTAACACTTTTTAGACTTTAAGTAACTGTTGTCTGCCCTTGATTTTGTTTGTATGAAAGAATGAGATTCATGATATCTTGTTTTGCACTGAAACAGCATTTTCTTTCTAATTTCTTTCTATATCCCTGTAAAAGAAATAAGAGAACCAGTAAAGGAAGAGAAAACATGTTACAGCAACCTAGACTGATAAGTTTAGGCGGTTTAGCTCAGGCCTTATTGATTCTGAGGTGTCATTTGAGGATATGGTTATGGCGACACTAACGACCACACAAAAATTGTTAAGTATGTTTGATTTAACTGTCAATAATAATAGTTAATAATTATTTATAATTGTTAACTTATAATTTATAGAACAATTAATACTTATTATTTAATAATGTAAAATCAATATGTAGTATGTTTAAATATCTTAATTAATTATTAATTAATAAAATTAACTAAATTAAATAAATTTACTATATATATATGTATATGTTTGTGTCACCTTAAAAAATATTTTGTGTAGTCATAACTATGGCAATCATTTGACATCATGCAATAGCATACGGTTAATCCATAAAAACAAGAAACCTGTTTGTCCCGTGTTGTAAAAGTGAATCAAATGGAGATTTTGGAGGCTGTCTCTGGCGAATTATAACTGCCTAATGTTTCCCAGAACCATTCCATCATTTTTGTGCTCATGTAAGCTTTCCATTGAGATGACGTGCTCTTGCACTGCTCTGCTCTCGTGAAAAGCAAAACAGTAGGAGGGGAAGATGAAAGTACAGATAGTCGTGGTTATAACTACATAATTTGATTATTTTTT